CACACTCATCGACGGGACACCCCGGTACTCACTGCGCAGAAGCCGATGATCTCCTGGACAAAAGGCCAGTGGCGCCGAGACGAAAGGAGGTCCACGCAGAAGTTCAGGGGTGCTGCCGTGGAGAACGTTGGTAAAAATGTACCGTCTCAAATAGCTGCGCCAGCTTCCGTGCGATGAGGTTCCCAGCCCCAATGCACCAAAAATGTTAACGGAGGAATAACAGGAAGAAACCGCAGAAGCCACACATAGAGATATGGACACAAGTCTTCAGGAAGTAACAGGTCTTTTATTTACACACCGAATGGGTCTCAGATGAACTCCTGTTCCAAAAATATCTGAGAGGGCGAAAGCATGGTACAGAGGCCTTTTGTTAGCAGCAAATCCCCTCCCATACAGTATAACCCCTCCTATATTCCTCAGACCAATCAGCACACAGGATATTCAGGATCACCTTATATGGGCAGACCACATGGCACTTACAGACAAAGGAATGTACTATCCACTTCCACACATGCTCAGTATACTGATGACTCATCCAACTGTTTGTAATCAGATACTAATTAGCATATGCCATGTGGAGATTTCGGCCTACAAAATTTTGACCATGCTGTAATCCCATCACAGTATGAATAATGGAATGGCTCAAAGTGCAGCATGGATAAAGTGTCTGTGAGGCACAAAATGTGTAAGCATCAACGATGTGGAGTATTGCCCCTGCTGTAGCGTCCATAAAGGTATCATGTTTTAAATTTTACTATGCATAGTTTGGGTGTTGTTTTCCCCCTATTTATTCAGCTTTCCTAACCCTGGAAATTTGTAACACAGACTCGGAACATGTTACAGCCTTAGTGCATTTATTTCATGTGGACAATTAGAGTGCAACTGCAGCAAGTTACATATTATATTGAAATTCAAAGAATGCTCATTAATTATTGTGACTAGAGTTGAGTGAACCCGGACTGTAAAGTTCGGGTTCGTACCGAACATTAAGTTTTTTGGACCCCGGACCCGAACACGGACATATCACTGTATGTTCGGGTTGGAGTTCGGTGTTCGGCGATTTAATGGCGCGTTTTGAAAAGCTGCAGGGCAGCCAATCAACAAGCGTTTGACTTGTGTGCCCTTAGAAGCCATCACAGCCATGCCCACAAATGGCATGGCTGTGATTGGCCAGTGCAGCATGTGACCCAGCCTCTATATATAAGCTGGACTCGCGTAGCGCCGCACGCACATGAGCTCTTTTTAGTGTAGGGAGAGGATGCTGCCGCTTTCAGGGACAGATTAGGAAAGAATTCTGCAGACTAGTACATTAGTGGGGTGCACTTCATATCTGAGAGTCAAATAGAAGCGTCAAATAATGCGTTTACAGCACAGTTGTAAAAATTCGAATTGTTTTGGTGCTAATCTGCTAAATAGTAAATTTGGGGCGTGCTCTTCATATCGGAGAGTCAAATAGAAGCGTCAAATACTGAGCTTACAGCGCAATTGTAAACATTCTTATTTTCTGGGTGCTAATCTGCTAAATAGTACATTAGTGGGGTTCACTTCATATCTGAGAGTCAAATAGAAGCGTCAAATACTGCGCTTACAGCGCAGTTGTAAACATTCTTATTTTCTAGGTGCTAATCTGCTAAATAGTACATTAGTGGGGTACACTTTATATCTGAGAGTCAAATAGAAGCGTCAAATACTGTGTTTGCAGCGCAATTGTAAACATTCTTATTTTCTGGGTGCTAATCTGCTAAATAGTACATTAGTGGGGTGCTCTTCATATCAGAGAGTCAAATAGAAGCGTCAAATACTGTGCTTACAGCGCAGTTTGAAACATTCTTATTTTCTGGGTGCTAATCTGCTAAATAGTACATTAGTGGGGTGCTCTTCACATCTGAGAGTCAAACAGAAGCGTCAAATACTGCGCTTACAGCACAGTGGTAAACATTCTAATTGTTTTGGTGCTAATCTGCTAAATAGTAAATTTGGGGTGTGCTCTTCATATCTGAGAGTCAAATAGAAGCGTCAAATACTGCGCTTACAGTGCAATTGTAAACATTCTTATTTTCTGGGTGCTAGTCTGCTAAATAGTACATTAGTGGGGTGCTCTTCATATCTGAGCGTCAAATAGAAGCGTCAAATACTGCGCTTACAGCGCAATTGTAAACATTCTTATTTTCTGGGTGCTATTCTGCTAAATAGTACATTAGTGGGGTGCTCTTCATATCTGAGAGTCAAATAGAAGCGTCAAATACTGCGTTTGCAGCGCAATTGTAAACATTCTTATTTTCTAGGCGCTAATCTGCTAAATAGTAAATTTGGGGCGTGCTCTTCATATCTGAAAGTCAAATAGAAGCGTCAAATACTGCGCTTACAGTGCAATTGTAAACATTCTTATTTTCTGGGTGCTAATTTGCTAAATAGTACATTAGTGGGGTGCTCTTCATATCTGAGAGTCAAATAGAAGCATCAAATACTGCGCTTACAGCGCACTTGTAAACATTCTAATTGTTTTGGTGCTAATCTGCTAAATAGTAAATTTGGGGCTTGCACTTCATATCTGAGAGTCAAATAGAAGCGTCAAATAGTGCTGTGACATAGCATTTGTAAACTTTCACATTTTTGGCTGCTAAATAGTACATTTGCGGCCTGTGGTGCACTTTATATCTGAGAGTCAAATTGTTGCAGTGTAAGCATGCAGAAGTCAAACACAGAGATTTGGACACAAGTCTTCAGGAAGTAAGAGGCCTTTATTCACATTACCGATCGGGTCTCAGATGAACTCCTGTTCCAACATTCTAAGAGACCAACACATAGTGTACATTCCTTATATAGCACTATAACTCCTCCCATTAATAGCTACACCCACATATACCTTTAACCAATCAATGAGCAGAATATAGACTTGTACATCTAGTCAAACCACATGGCTCATCCAAGACAAAGGAAATAAGTGCAATTTCAGTACCTGCATTCCTGCACATGCTCAGTACACTGATGACAGTATCCTAGCTACGTGTAGCTAACTAACTGACACAACATACACATATGCCACATGGAGATTTTGGCCTACTAAATTTTGACCATGCTGGAATCCCATCACAAAATAGAAGCGTCAAATAGTGCGGTTACAGCGCAATTGTAAACATTCTTATTTTCTGGGTGCTAATCTGCTAAATAGTACATTAGTGGGGTGCTCTTTATATCTGAGAGTCAAATAGAAGCGTCAAATACTGTGTTTGCAGCGCAATTGTAAACATTCTTATTTTCTGGGTGCTAATCTGCTAAATAGTAAATTTGGGGCGTGCTCTTCATATCTGAGAGTCAAATAGAAGCGTCAAATAGTGTGCACCATAGCATTTTTAAACATTCAAATTTTTTGGCTGCTAAACAGTACATTTGCGTCCTGCGGTGCACTTCATATCTGAGAGTCAAATAGAAGCGTCAAATAGTGCGGTTACAGAGCAGTTTGAAACATTCTTATTTTCTGGGTGCTGATCTGCTAAATAGTAAATTTGGGGCGTGCTCTTCATATCTGAGTGTCAAATGGAAGCGTCAAATAGTACTGTGACATAGCATTTGTAAACATTCAAATTTTTGGGCTGCTAAATAGTACATTTGCAGCCTGTGGTGCACTTCATATCTGAGAGTCAAATAAAAGCGTCAAATAGTGCGATTACAGCGCAATTTCAAACATTCTTATTTTCTGGGTGCTAATCTGCTAAATAGTACATTAGTGTGGTGCTCTTCATATCTGAGAGTCAAATAGAAGCTTCAAATAGTGCGCTTACAGCGCAGTTGTAAAAATTCTAATTGTTTTGATGCTAAACTGCTAAATAGTACATATTGGGCGTGCTCTTCATATCTGACAGTCAAATAGAAGCGTCAAATAGTGCGCTTACAGCGCAATTGTAAACATTCTTATTTTCTGGGTGCTAATCTGCTAAATAGTACATTTACGGCCTGCACTTCATATCTGACATTTAAATAGAACCGTCAAATACCAATATAACAATATTGTAATTCGGGGGCAATATCCTCACAAGTCAAACTGAGAGGCCAGTTTATAGGGAAAACTGTTGCCTGGATACAATTCTAAAACAATTTCCATATGTCCTTTGCAGACTTTACATGCTGGAAAAACACAGGTGCCAACTGCTGTGGCTTTCTGCAGTGTGCAGACCGTCAAGAAGGGCAGGGTTAGGAGTGGGTGGAAGATGATGTGGAGGATGATGAGGTCCTAGACCCTACATGGAATCGAGGTCATGCGAGTGATGTGTGCAGTTTGGAGGAAGAGGCGCTGGTCGCACAGAGGCACCAGCACAGCATAAAAGGGTGCAGGGTGCAAAAGCAGAGCGGCCGTCCCCTAGCGCTCGTCGGCATGTATTATCTTTAGAATTCCCACAGTTATCCAAGTAACAGTTGAAGCGATAAAAAGAACCATAACAGATTTAAAAAGCCATTCGCAGTTTCGCAGTCTGGTGACCGGGATCCAGTATGCCTGATGTTGAAGTTAGGAGTCACAGTGTGGAATGGATTAGCATGGTCTGGTGCAGGGTAACCGCACGCCCCCTGGTGTTGAGCACCAGCGTTTGTGTGGCCACATACCAGGACCCTGATGCAGCTTCAGTAAAAAGAGTACTGGATACCAGAAGCCATCACCAGACTGATCCGCAACTTGGAACAGGATGTGACATTCACTGTAGCGGCTGTGCGCGCTTTTGGCATTCTCACCCTGCTGCTGCTCGCCTGTCTGCGCTGCAGCATAACTTTGGCCTTCCCGCTCACCGCCTCATATGCGACGTGCCCACAAGGTGGAACTCCACTTTGCACATACTGGAGAGACTGTGCGAGCAGCAGCAGGCGATAGTGGCGTTTCAGCTGCAGCACGCACGGGTCAGTCGCTCTGCACCAGACTTGCCCTCCAATTGATCAGAGTTAAAGGATTTCAAGTGGACTCATTACAATTACAGGGCCTCTAAAGAGTCCGGTATTGTTATTTGTCGTCGCTACCTTCCCGCATTGGGTCATTTGCAGCCCGCTGCCTTCCTTGCATGTGGTGGCCGTTTCTCAGGCTTCCTTTCCGGAATCGAACCCTGATTCCCCGTTACCTGTGGTCACCATGGTAGGCGCAGTAAATGGTATCGAAAGTTGATATGGATTACATATGAATGCGTCGTCGCTTTGTCATTGGGGAGCCCATTGAAAGATCGCTCTAGCACGACGAGCTGGGTGATCTCCTCCGGGAACTTGGCTTGATGGGAGTTGAACCAGTTCTGTGTGGCCCTTGTGATGCGGCATGCCCACTCCGCATGGGAGTCCTTCTCCCCTTTCCGGGTCTCCCTAAACTTTCGGCGGTATTGCTCGAGGGTGACCGCATACCAGGCCAGGAGGATTTGGGTAATAAAGGGATAGTCTCTGTTCTGCTCTTCTGGTACAGCCCGGTAAATGTCCGCTGCCTTCCCCACTAGTTTGCTTCCCAGCATGGTGACCCAGTCGCTGGGGTCCACGTCTTGGAGTGGGCACTGGTGCTCAAAGTTTTGTAAAAAGTCATTGATGCCTTCTTCTGCTTCCTTGAACTCTTTAAAGGCATTGTATGGTAGCTTGTGGGCCAGGGTGGTTGTGTTTCCCGGCGTCCTCTTCTCCCTTCTTCCTTCATCTGGGTTCATGGAGGTCGCCCTCTGTCTATTGGCAAAGACATAGGCTTGCACCTCCAAAAAGGTCCTGCTGACAATCTCCTCTGAGGGTGGCTCTCGGTAATATGCCAGGCGCCGTTCCACCTCCTTGCGCACTTCCTCCTTGTCTCAGGCCCCTGGCTGGGGTTCGTTGCCTCACTGCGTGCCTGGTCGTCCTCCATGAGCGCAGCAGTCAATTCGGCCTTGTTACGCCCACTAGGCGTAATTCCTCTGGCTCCACACAAGTTCTGCAGTGTAGGTTGCTTTAGAGCACTGTAGTCCATGGGTCTGTTGGCAGGGACATGGGATCCCGCTGCTTGCCACCAATTGAATCGGGACCTGGGTAACCGATGGTTATCCCCTTTGATTAGAATAGGTCAGACCCATTTCCTCAGTAACCGGATGGCACACAGTTTCAGGATACAACGTTTGACAATCTTTATTTGGGTACACAGCTTTGCCCCTTGTTGCCTCCTCCTACTCAGCTTCTTCCTCATCCTCCTCTACCACCTCCTCATCCGGTCAGCGTAACACCTTCACCACCAACTTCAGCACAGCCAGGGGAAAACGACAGCAGGCTGTTTTAAAACTCATATTTTGGGGGGGAAACCCCAAACCGCGCAGGAGCTGTGGTCGGGCATGGAACAACAGAACAGACCGATGAGTGGTTGTTGCCACTGAGCTTCAAGTGCGATAATGGGCGAAATCTTGTAGCAGCTCTGGGCCTAGCTAGTTTGCCGCACATCCCTTGCCTGGCGCATGTGCTGAATTTGGTGGTGCAGAAATTCCTGAAAAACTACCCAGATATATCAGAGCTGCTGCAGAAAGTGCAGGCCGTCTGTGCACACTTTTTGCGTTCTCACCTTGCTGCTGCTCGCCTGTCTGCGCTGCAGCGTAATTTCGGCCTTCCCGCTCACCTCCTCATGAGGCGATAGTGGTGTTTCAGCTGCAGCACGTACGGGTCAGTCGCTCTGCGGAACAGAGTTGTCTTTTTTTTATATGTCCCAATATTTTGGGGGCTACCCCAATTAAAAAAAAAAAAAATATATATAATAAAAAACAGTGTTGGCTACCTCCTCCTCCTCCACCGCTGCTTCCACCTACACTGCCACGGTCACCGCCTCCTCAACCTATGGGTCACTTAGTATAAGCTATGTACACAATAGCAGAGGCTTGTGAAGGCCTTTTCTCCATGTATCAGGAGTTGAGTATTTCTCCATGCGTCAGAACTGCAAGAAATGCACCGCAGGCCGCAAATGTTTCTTTTTTTTATATGCCCCAATATTTTGGGGGCTACCCCAATTAAAAACAAATATATATATATATATAAAAACCAGTGTTGGCTACCTCCTCCTCCTCCACCGCCGCTTCCACCTACACCTCCTCCTCAACCTATGGGTCACTTAGTATAAACTATGTACATAATAGAAACATAGAAACATAGAAACATAGAATGTGACGGCAGATAAGAACCATTCGGTCCATCTAGTCTGCCCAATTTTCTAAAAACTTTCATTAGTCCCTAGCCTTATCTTATAGTTAGGATAGCCTTATGCCTATCCCATGCATGCTTAAACTCCTTTACTGTGTTAACCTCTACCACTTCAGCTGGAAGGCTATTCCATGCATCCACTACCCTCACAAGCAGAGGCTTGTGAAGGCCTTTTCTCCATGCATATGAGCTCAGTTTGAACAATGAAAGAGAATACCCTGCACTCCAACTCTCTCTCAAATGGATAATTCTGGTGATCCTCCTGACAGCCATGCTTTAGATTTTGATTTATGTTCTTCCAAAGCTAAAATCAAAGATTCCATCTAGTGCTATTTTATGGCTCAGCTGTATTTTAATTTTTTAGGTTATTTTAAGTGATTTCCCTATCCACATTTGTTTTCAGGGCACTTGTCCTACTCTTACCCCCATTTTACTTCATTTTGCAGCTCTCTAGCCCTTTCCAGGACTTTTTTAGGGGCATTTTTGTGCCCAAAAGTTCGGGTCCCCATTGACTTCAATCGGATTCGGGTTCGGGGTCAAGTTTGATCACGAACCCAGACTTTTTTTCAAAGTTCTGCCGAACCCGCCGGATCCGAACATCCAGGTGTCCGCTCAACTGTAATTGTGACCGCTATTCACAATTACAGAATCCTGCACCAAAATACAAAAAAAAAAAGTCACAATACGCCATTTTGTACATTGACATAACTAGGGAAAAAACACATAATGGGAAAACCCCGAAAGAAACCTGTCTGCAGATCCAATAGTGGACCTGGATTTAGTTGCCAATGAAAGGACATTGAAATCTGAGGTGAACAAATGCAGTTTTCACAAAACCACAGAACACACCAACAAAACGGCAGTTTGAAGATCTACGCAACATAAAAAAAGGATATGGGAACAGACATCAATTAAACAAAGAAAATCACTTTACAAAATAAAGACTAGAAGAGAGAACTGCCACCTGCATGGAAATCTAATAGGATAAAAAATGCATTCAAATTCAAACACAATACAAAAGGAAATGTCAACAGACACAAGGCATTGACCACCAGCATTTGAGGATCCTAAATTATAGGATCTAGTTCTCAAACGTCAAAAATGCATATGCTATCTCGAACAGTTTATACAGTTGTGGAATGGATTCACTCAAATACGGAACTGTTCCACTAAATCATTATAAAAGCCTGTGATAGGAAATTACAGAAGCTGAACTTTATATAATAATGGACTTTCTGTGAAGGATGAAGTTATAATACAATACTTTATTTGTATGTCAATATATAGATAGAACTGTAGCTAGCAGTCTGTTGTCTGATAATGTACACAGTTCTATTCCAAGAACACCCTCTGCGCCACCCATGTCTTCCTCTGTACACCGCTGGTGATGGAAGAGTGACGTCAGCAAAGGAAGATCCAACTGAGCGAGAATTTGGGCTATGGGATTAAACTAAGGTAAGTTTCAGCTTTTTTTTTTTTTTAGTTGGGGGTGGTCCTTAAGACAATCCATAAGACATGAGAACAGAAAATCCAACTCACTTTCAGTTACATTGATGAATTCAACATTGCCCTTTTAGACATGGGTACCCTGTAATGATACTGGAAGCCAGGATATGATGTTAGCTGGTGGCTTTACACTGTGTGCAGGACTGTGAGAAAACTGTTCATTACATCTATAGAAGCACAGACCAGTGTTCCATAATGTCCTACTGGATAGCAGAAATTAGGTACCACACTGCCCCTACAGGCAAAAGTAGGCTAACACGGGCTGGAGGTATGTAAAATAGGAAACAAAGTGAGCAAGTCCTTTTCTCCTCTTCTTTAAGAAGAGCACTCCAACCACCATAACATGTAATGGTTATGATGCCAGAAGTGTCCTGGCATACTCTCATTATAAGTAGTAAACTGTTTTAGAATGGATTTACATTTTACCTCAGGACTGCCAGGCACCGCTCCCCACCTCCACAAAATGCAACAGAGAGCCATTAGTTCTCTGTATGAGCTAAGCCCAGGGGCGCAGGGCTTAGCTCATTGGCTGAGAGTGATCAGCTGAAGCTCTCAGCTAATGAGCTAGCCGTGCACTGCACCAAGGCACTAATGACACCATAACCACTACAGCATCCTGTAGTGGTTAAGGTGCTTGAGGTGTCCCTTTATCCTTAGACCATTGACCCCAATGTAAATCAGATAGAGCCCAGTTACTCTTTGATAGCAGTCAATGTAATAATTACAAAATCTAACCAAATCAAAACACTCTCCAAGATGTTTTAATGTAGTAACGCTTACCAGCCTCCTCTATAAATAGCATTACAAGCTTCCTCATACCACTGTCCCCTGTATTAAATTCATATCCAGCCTTTCTATTAGTTAGTACTCTGCCCAGTGTGCTATATTAGTGCCCTTCCTAGTAACCTTTATTAGATGTCTACCAATCTCTCTCTATTAGTACCCTGTCTGGTCCTATATATTAATCCCCTATCAAGCTTTGACGATTAGTACCCTGCTCAATCCCCTGTATTAGGACACTCC